ATATCAACAGTCCTGTGATGCCAATGGACCCCATAAAAGGATCCCACCTTGTCAAGAAATGTGTAACTTTCTAGATTACAGATGAGGGACGTACAAGGAATAAGAGTAGGAAATTTGGACAATGTTGACTTTAAATGTTTATTTTGTTTAGAGTGTAAGGACCAATTTTCTGAAAAGAGCAACCAGTGGAGCAGATGGTATTCTGCTCTACTGTTACTCATACTGAGGTCAGGGATCTGTGGAACTGAAGGGATGATTTTTACTGAAGGCATGGGACCTCTCCTGAGGTTTCTGCTGCAAATCTGTGGTTTGGTCCTACCAGCAACAGCACTAAATAGCCCAGACATCCCTGTCCTTTGCTGGCTCCCTGTCTGACCTCACATACAGCTACTTTCTGTTTTGAAACAGAAGCCCAGGAGGGCTGGGAACAGTGAGGTCTGCAGGAAGGAATTAGCTGCTCTGTGGGCCCCAGGTAGCTGACAGATTTTGATACCTAAAATAAAGACAAGATTGAGCCTTCCCACTGTGAAGCTGGAGTGCTGAAAAAGCAGAACTCCTGTTTCTAACTGCAGTCCTTCAAATTCTTATTAATCAGTCCCTCATCTTCTTCCTAATTTGCCTTTTACTACCCCAGCCTTAGAGACCCTCACTGACTTTTCCCTATTCTCTTCTCCATACCCTCAGAACCTATTTACACTGTGCATGAGCCTTTTGTATACCGTGGGGATATCTGCAACAATTTCTGAAACAGTTTCTTGGTGTACAGTATGTAATTTTTGTTGGTTTTTTTCCTTTAATTACCTTATTTCTCAAAGATATTATGCACAGGAAAATGACCTTTTTTTTTTTTTTCATTTTTCTTTTTCATTTTTTAAAAGATCCTGCCACAAATGAAGCTTCAAAGGTAGGAAAATGAGTCACTAGAATCCCAAATCTAATAAAAGAGTATGTGGAGAACTAATACTTGCCTGTGGCAGTGTTTTTCATAGCGTGAGGTAAAACTGTCATCTAGTGGTCATAATAGGTGTTCCTGAATTACCATTTTCATTTGTATATAGCCAGAATGTTTCTTATCCCCAGGATGTATCACCTGAAAATAATTAAGCTAAAAAAACTATATGTATCTGAAAGGCTTTTAGGTGAAGGGAAAAACCCTGGAATCTTTGGTGAAGAATAAATGGATTTATAACTTTGTGCAGCAGACATGTGAAATGCCTTTTTCCTCTCTATCCCACAGTTCACCACAGTGACATACCACTTTCTGCCTTCCTAAACAGCTGTGGGAGGCTGAAGATCAAGATAATTGAAACTAAAATAGGGCAACAAAAGAACCTCTCTTATTAAGAATTCTGCTACAGTCATTTTACAAGTAGGTCTCAATTTCAAATTTCCTCTTAAAAAAAGCACTAACACTTCACCCTAACTTATCCTAGAAGGTCAAGTTCTGTTACAGCATCAGTACAACGCCGGTGTTTTCAGCTGGACAAGCACAGGTTGTGGGGGAGAATAGCCTTCAGCCTAAAGAAGTAGGTCTTCTGTTGTGCACTGACTTCAGCAAGTTGCATTAAATCTGCAGGGATATATCAAGAAACAACAGGCACCACGAGTGAGCCTCTAGGTCTTTGATGACACACCTTTTTATAAAACAACTACTCTGCAACAAGCATACTGTTTCTGTCAGAAGAGAGCTACGTGCATGTTATTGTACTAGTGTTTTGGGGGTGGCTGGTTCGTAAAGGTGGTACAAACACCTCAGTAATAATGACTGGATTTCAGCAAATAAATGTGAAAACCAGCAGGACAGGTACATAGTGTAATAAGAATATGCTCTTACAAAGAGGAAAACAGGCAGAGCAAAGTGCAGAGTTATGAGTTTGATGACTCAGGGTGGAGTATTGCTGCACAGCATTAGCACCTGCATCTAGTATCTGTGATACTGGGGACAGAAGAGGGTGTGATTCCCAGATTTTGTATTGAGAGATTCACATGTACTCATCAGTGAGGGAGCTTTTATGAAGCAATATCTCCTGGAGCAAATTGGCTAATATAATTCATAATACTTAGGAAACAAACTTCCTGTCTAGCTCGGTTTGCAGATTCTGTTTATTATTTGTATTTCCTCAGGGAGTTGGACCCTCAGTTTTTGATCAGGATCCACTTATTCAAAGTGCTTGAAAGCTTCAAGATAGTATCTGCCTGAATTTTTAAGTACATATTGAAGGGCAATGCTGACAGAGGCAGATTATGGGGAATATGAGGAAATCACAAGGTAGTCAGATATGTGTAACCAGCAATAATTTCAGCATGTCCATACTCTTAAGAATGTAATTTTTATTGAACAGGTGTCACTGAAGAAGTTAAGCAAAGACATTGAAAAAAAAAAAAAAAAAGGAGTTACCTTTCTGGATGTTTGTGCAGTGTCCTGACTGAGGAAAATATCATCTAAGGTAAATGTAAAAAAGCATGAGGGGAATTATTTTTAAACTCGACACATGTTTAAAGACAGCTGTCATCTTTAGCCCAACAGAGAGAAAAGATTTCTCAACAGTGAGCGCTAGGGAGAACAGGTTAGGCTGTGAAAGTCTTTCTTATATATTCATTAGTGAAATATATTTAGCAGAGAAAATTCTTTGTTTAATATTTTCTGTGAATAGGTTGTGGTCTGACTGCATAGCTTCCAAGTAAATGTATTTTTTGAACTTCCTTTCTAGTTATGACTAAATGCACTGCACAGGTTTTTTTCCCTCCCAGTTAAATATGAATCAGTTTTTACTCTGCTTATAAAGATTTCAGATTTTTTAAAATTAATTTTTGGAAATTGTTGTGGTTTTTTTTAGATACTTAACATTCCCTCACCAATACACTCATTCTTCAGATCTGTATAAATACACTCATTGTTTAGATTTGTATGAGGAAGTCCCTGGGATATCTGGAGGCAAGTAGCTATGTCAATGCTCCTCCTGTGAAAGTCATACAGCTCTAATGTGAAACTTAAATTTCTATAGGCAATAGGATGAAAACAGAGGATCCTGAAGTAATTTTAATTCATAACTGGAAGTAAGCTGGGCAAAACTGCAGAGCAGTCTCACACTGAACCAAAAGGTCTACGATGGACACAGGATTACAAACTAGACTGTAAGTAATAAACCACAAATAAGAGTAGGTGATGTTGGCAGGAGAATTTAGTTGTAAATCCTGAAATTTATTGGGATGCAGAGAGGGTAATACCTGAAACACTAGAATAGGTGAGCAGCTGCTCTGTGGATGCACAACATCTGCTGGCGTGCTGTGCATGTGAGCTCGGTGCTTGGGACTGTCTATGGTCATAAGATAACTATGGTTATGAACTGCCTGATTAGAGCAGGAATGGCAGCTGTAAACTGTCAAGAGACTGGAATGTGTGTGTCAAGCTAAAATATAGCAGCAAAGGTGGCAGATGCAAATTTACCAACATCAGATGTTGCAGCAAGAGATAGCATTGGTAAATGTGGTTAAAGCCAAATCCTTTCTTTACGGGATGAGCTGAAAAGCTGCTGACTTTCTTCCTGTGACTTTGCAACATGCTGTGGAGTTTAGAGGGCAGGCCTGCATGACTGCTAAGAAACAGTCAACACAGCACTTTTGTGGGGAGGATGTCTGCAGCACAATAGCAGCACAGTGCAAAGAGGAGTAGCAAGTGCCCTGATGGAGAAAGAGACACACAGGAGGGGACTTTCTGCTTTATACCTTCTGTGCTGCTGAGGAAAAAGAGTGTATTTGTATATGTGTGTATACATAAGACTCTTAACTCATCGGTATTTATCACAGTCCCAAAGTAAAATCCTGTTTTCTGCCCATAGCAGGTCTGAATGGGGACAAAGAAAATAATCAACCAGTTAGCAATTGAGCAATGTCCAGGTCTGGAACTTAGATGATTAAGTCCAGTGAAATTGGCCTGTAAAGGATCATAAAACCCTACAGCTAGACAGCAGGTTAGCAGGTAATATACTTCTGTAAACATAATATTGCATATAAACTGGCAATAATCACCTGCAAGAGCTGATTTGTCAGAGGATCAACACTGAACAACTTTCCAGCCACTTTCCAGCTCACAGAAAATTGTCCTAAGAAGTGATGGCACTCTGTTTCAGAGAGGGAAGAAAGATCACTGAACAGTATTATACCTATTTTATGTGGGGAAATTAGGAGTATTATGACTGAGTTGACTGGCTCTCTTCCTTGTTAAGTTAGTGGACACTGAGGTTCCTTTAAAACTTGTTTGTAGCTGCTTGATATTCAGCTTTGATCCACTCTAAAATTACATGCAGAAATGGAGAAAAGCCATACTTGCATGCAGAGAGCACCTGGACAAAAGTGGCTGTTTCATAGCTGCTAGAGAGAGAATAAAGAACCAGCTGTATTGGTTTACATGAGTAACAGCGGTTAACATTTAGGAACTGCAATCAACTTAAAGTCTGTTTTCTAAGCACTGTGTCATGGCCCTTGGGAGCTTAGCTCAAAAGAAATGTGTGGCAAAAGACATTTCTATTATCTAAAGGAAAAATCTGGTTCTTGTGATGCTACAATCAGACCAAGTACCTAGTCAGTCTTTGAAAATACTGAAGTAAAAGGTAATCAACAGAGATCTACAAATATAATCCTTTACTCTTACTGTAAAGCCAGTTCATACTTTAGCTATAAAGACATCAATCCAAAAAGTTTGAGAACTGCTATTATATTGAGGACAGTTTATTTGATTTATTCCCAAAGGGTATTTTGGGAAGGTGAGAAGAAGTTACCTCAACATGAGACACATTAAGATATATAAGCTAATTTACATACAAAAAAGTGAACTTGCAAGTACATTTAAAAGAATATCAATAAAACATCTAGACATAGGAATGAAAAAAATCTACAATTATAGTAGTTAAAATAAATATGACTAGAATTAGCAAGCATTTTATCATTTTTGTACATAATTGCACATTTATAGAAAATATATTTTAACTTGTTCTGTGAAATATTTTATGTTTGTTTCTGATAAAAGTAGCCTATGAGATTTGACTAACATAATTATTTTACAGTATCTTAATGCTAATACTCTTAAGAAAGAGGGGAATGTCATATCTTCAGAGTATCTTATGAAAAAGTGATCATAACAACTATCTGAAATAGAGAATGAACACATTTAGTGGAAATTATGGAATCATAGAATGGTTTGGGTTAGAAAGGACCTTCAAGATCATCTAGTTTCAATCCCTCTGCCAAGGGCAGGGACACCTTCTTCTAGACCAGGTTGCTCAAAGCCCCATCTAGCCTGGCCTTCAACACTGCCATGGATGGGGTATCCACAACTTGTCTGGGCAGCCTATTCCAGTGTCTCACCACCCTCACAGCAAAGAATTTTCTCCTAATATCTAATCTAAACCTACTCTTTTTTAGTTTGAAGCCATTCCGCTTTGCCCTGTCACTACATGCCCTTGTAGAGATTCCCTTCCCATCTTCCTTGTGGACTCCTTTCAGGCCACAATTAGGTCTACCCTAACCCTTCTCTTTTCCAGGCTGAACAATCCCTGCTCTCTCAGGCTTTCCTCATACAACAGGTGCTTCATTCCTCTGATCATCTTGGTGGCCTTTCTCTGGACCTATCTCCAACACGTCCATGTCTTTCTTGTGTTGGAGACACCAGAGCTGGAAGCAGTACTTCAGAAGGGGTCTCACAGAGCAGAGCAGAGTGGCAGAATAACTTCTTGCCATCTGCGTACCTTCTTTTGAAGCAGCCCAGGACACATTTGGCTTTCTGGCCTGTGAGCACACATTGCTGGGTCAGATCCCACCTATCACCTACCAGCAGCCCTGAGTCCTTCTAGGCAGGGCTTCTCTTGATGAGTTCATCCCCCAGCCTGGATTGATACCATGGGTTGCTCCAACCCAGTTGCAGCACTTTGCACTGGGTCTTGTTAAACCTTGTGAAATTCCCATTGGCCCACTTCTCGAGCTTGTCCAGGTGCCTCTGGATGGCATCCTATAATGGCATCCTGAATTACTGAATATGAAACTAACAAGTAAATTATTCATATTAGTGAAGACTCTTAGTGGATGATCTTCTAAATTTATCACTCATTTCCATTTTTAGAACTGGGTCTTCCCTACCAATATCTTCTGCTATTTGAGGTATTCAGTGATGATCAGTACTTGGGTCACTATGTTAGTAATGTGTAAATTAGAAAAAAGTGGCTGCTGATTGAAGAGTGTTTCATTTTGGTTCAGAAATAACACTCTCTGGTCTCCCAAATGTGTGCATCATAGTGTCAAGTGTATCAAAGTTACATTTAGAAGTGACTGACAAAACTAGAACCTCCAGGGCAAGAACAGTAAAGGGAAGTAAAGGTCACAACATCTTTTCCAGGAAAAACTGTGCCGCGGGGTCACTCACATTTTTGCAAGGAATATCGCTTCTTCCCAAGGAAGAAAGAAAAAGAGGGGAAAAAAAAATAGACCTATACAGACTCGTTGCCAAGCACAGGTGTTTGAAGAGACCTAGTTAGTTATGCTGCCCCAAAATCTGAAGAAATCTTCTGAGAAGTTTCTTTATATAACCAATCTTTTATAAAGTGTGTCTTTCCAGTGTTGTTGAATTGTTCAAGTTTCTGGCCATAGCTCTTGTGAAAGATTCTGCCCCACAGTCAGATCAGACACTGAGTTGTAAATTACGTTTTCCTTCTGCACATAAGTAGTATAAGGTTCCACTTCCGTCGTGTCATTCTAGCAAAACAAAACCAAAAACTGTGAATGCAAGAAGTAGTTTAGTTTGGCAAAACTCAACAAGCCTTTGATATGGACTGAAGAAAATAACTGGAAAATAGTGCTCTCATATTTATTCTTCTTCAACTCAAGAAAAAGACTCCTTTATTGCTTTTTCTATCAAAGAACATGTTTCTGGCAAAGATTTGGAGGGTAAAGCTGAGGTATTGGTTCACTTGCCTCCTTTTCCTTCCCTTCTACGCCACTTATTTTTTTGGCCTGAAATAAAGGTTGTTAGGGTCTAATTCTCTAGAAAGAGCAAAGAATATGCTAAAGTCTTGACTACAATTGATTTCTCCATCAGTATACAAATTTAGTCTACAGACATGCTAATAAAAGTTATGTGATGCAACAGCAAGAACACTGGTACTTAAACCATTATTTTGCATTAATGCAACTGCATCTGTCAGCAACAGCTTCGAGGTAGGGCAGCAGAACAGCAGGAATAATAATAACAACTAGAATTAACTAAGTCTTTTCAGAAGCTGAAGCATCTTTATAAGTTGATGGCAGAATTTGAGCCTAGTGTCTAATTCAGGTGCCCACATACTCACAATATAGTTGTAACACATCTTGCCTGCACAGAGATGCTTTTATATTGGCAGCAGAGAACAGAGAGGCAGCACTGATGAGTGAATTGCTCAGCTACACAAGAAGGTTCTAACAGCACAGGGAATTCAATAATATCTCCCAGTCTGCAGCTCAGCACTCCTTCCATTGTTTTATAAAATGTTTTGTCTTGAGTATGGTTGGTTCTTTGACTGTGGATTGACCATACTAGATAAAGAGGGGCCTTCAAAACTCAAACATTATCATTCTGGACATGAAGAGTCCAGTCCTTTCTCCTTCTGTCTGTTAATTTGGTTGTTTAATCTTCTTGTTTACTAATAGTTTCCTTAATATTCTCCAACCCATGTTATTGCCTCCCTTCCTCATTACTGCTTGGACAGGAGTTGTGGTTGGTGTATCTGATATAATCAGGAAGATGTGGTTGGAATCACTCCTTGCTAAGATAAAGAAAGGCGGTAGCTGGGTGTTTGCTGTTGGAACTTGCCTCTAGTGTTTGCTCCACATCAAAATTATGGTAAAAATCAGCTTTGTTTTGTCCTATAAATATCTAAGAACAAATATATAGAACATGGTAATACCTGCTTAAAGCACAGAGTAAAAATCTATTGTTTTCCCTTTACTGATTATGTTTTCAGGACTATCAGAAGATCCCTGATTTGGTGATGGCCTAATCTGCATAATTCTCCTTACCTGTATAGGATCAGTTTCGGGAGGTTTGGTTTTGTGGCACAGTCTGTGAAAAAGAAAGCAGGTGTTAAAGCAAATTATTTCCTCAGTTCTGTGTTTGGCTGGATCACAGCTTGGTTTCTTTGATCAGAAGCACATGAAAAATTTCTTATTCTTGTCTTCAGGAGTAAAGCCATCTCATGTGTCTTTCTCCCTAACTTTAGATCCTGAAGTTATAGCATCCTGACTTTCTTAGTTAGGATGCTTTCTTAGCATTACTCAGTGAAGATGTGTGCAATGCACAGTGTCTGCAGTATAGAAATATTTGATGAAGTTAATTCAGTTATTCATAGCAGCATAGACTGACAGAATCATATGATTTCAAGACACAAACAGTACTTTAAAATTTCTTCTATCACTACACAATTTTTTCTTAGCACCCTATCATACATACCTATTACTGTGGAGCTTGGTGTAGTAAATGAGAACCATGAAGATCATAATGCTCAGAAGGCAAATGGTAATGGAGACACACAGGATGTACTTCTTTTTGCCTAAACACAAAGAGTTAGTTTGAGTTATATCTTCTTACTAATCACTTTCTGTATTGTTTCAGTATAAGATTAAAGTTGCTTTAGCACATACACACATTTTCAGCACGCTTGTAAAAGAAATATAATGTCCTTCAGCAGAAGGAAAAGTCAGCAATGAAACACAAATGGAGTCTGTGCCAGAGACAAAAGCAGATCCCACAAATCCCGCAGTGTACACTCATGATATTTTTTCACTAAGCCACACCTGAACCTCTCTCAAGGATTCAGCATTTCTCAGCACTGCGACTCATATATAGTTTTCAAAAGCAATAAAAAAAGCAAAAACCAGAAACCAGAGGTCATAGAGTGTCAGATATTCACAACTCAGAATGAAGTGATTTACTTATTTCTGCTGGTCACACCAGAGTTGGCTCTCTTTCTCTCTCTTACCATTACATTTAAATTTGCATCTGAAAAAACCCTGCTAATGTTCCACTTCCGGTTGGTTATGACTGCTTCATTGCTGTTTCCAACAACGTTTTCAGTACCAAAAGAATGCTATGACACTTATGTATATCCATTTTAGGGAAGAAACTATTAGGAAATAGTGTCCAGAACACAAATGAGTGGTGATGTTTCTGGACAAAACTCAGTTGGGGATAGTACTCTTGGCTTTATAGCACTTCACTGAAGCTTTCTATATCTTTTGTATATTTTCCTTCCTAGCAGTAATGAGAGTTGAACAAGCTAAACAGGCTTTTGAACACCAAATGCACAAAGGGAAGCTTACCTGAGGAACAACAGGCTATGGACTCAGTCCAGTTCCCAGCTGGGTGGAACACCATGCAGGTTGTGTCAGTCACACTGGTGTTACATGCTGCCAACCTGCTGAGAACAGTCACTGTCCCGTTGTCGTGGCTTTTGTCCTCAAGGGAGGAGTTGCTCTGTAGGAGCCACGAGACCTGAGCAGGAGGCTTCCCTGCTGCTGCCTCGCACACGGCGTTCCCGTGCTCATCACAGTACAGGCTCAGCCTGGGGGGCACTGCAAAGCACCAGGAAGGGGAGAAGCATGGAGTTAGTTTCCCACAGCTGGGATGGGGTGTTCTTGTTCTCCACCCAAAATGAAAGCAGTGAAAAGAGGAGAAGAAGGTTGGAGGTGCCATTCCATGGGCAACAAAGTGGATCCAAGTCACAAGAGACAAAGATCCTGTCTCTTTTTTCCTTTTAGACAACTCTCCCATGTTCAGGTGAGCCTTACCACAGCCGTTCTCCATATCCTCTGTTAGTGTATGGGAAATTGCTTCACAGCTCTTGTTTCCAACTAGACAGTGGAAAATGGGACAGCAGAAGGGAGAAGAGTTTTGGGAAATAAGGAGAAGGGAGACCCAGAGACACTATCAGTGATATGCATGACAGTTTATCCAACAAGAATCACAGCTTTGAAGGGACTTTAAAGATCATCTACTTCCAATGCCCTTGCAATGATCAGGGACATCTTCCACTAGACCAGGTTGCTCAGAATCCTATATAGCCTGTCCTTGAACTTCCAGAGATGGGGTATCTACAGCTTCCCTGGGCAGCCTTGTTCCATTGGCTCACCACCCTCTCAGTACAGAATTTCTTCCTAATATCTAATTTAAAGCTACCTTCATTGATTAAAAAAAAAAAATCAAAACCAAAAACCTCCATTTCTTACTCCACATTTCCCCAGTGAATGCAGAGAGGAGCTTTGTATGTCCAGGCCCAGACATGGTCCTTTGGAGAACTGAAAACAGAGAAGGAGTTCCTTACCCAGCACGGTCAGGTGGTATGTCCCATGGAAATTCCCGTCTGGTGTTACAACTTCGCAGGTGTAATTTCCCTCCTGGGCTATCCCCACCTGCTGTATCTCAAGGTCAGGACTCAGATCTGGTCTGAATTTCCAGTTCATGCTGTCACTGCAGTTTGTTCTGTCTGTCATGTTCGTATCAGCCCTGTATCCCAAGCTGCAGGGGCCTCCAACCTTGGGACTTATTTTCCATGTTAGCATAGTTATTATATTTGAGTTGTTAGGGCAGGGGAGCACTGAGCTGTCACCTACGGTCACTGACACTTTGTAGTTCCCTGAAGGAGAGAAGGAAAGAGAAGGACATGTGAGATGGTGCTTGGGAGGGTCATTCATAGTCCTGGTGCTGTGGTCAGTGCTTCACAGGGAAATGTCTGCACTGGTACATGCCAGTATGAACTGTGTCTGTGCTCATCTGCAAATTGTCTCTCATCTCATACTAGAGCTGTGGATTGTGGAGCCAGTGGCCAGTCACAACCTACCCTCTGAATACTATCAACAAATTTCCCACTGGGATTCCTCTTAGTGGATAAGACTGGATATTGAAGGAGGACCCTAATCCCTCCCATTGTCTTAGGCAGTTCAGAATCTGAAGAATCTGCCTCTATCAGCAAATTCTTCAGCTTTGCAACTCCTTTGGGTTGCTCACAGGGCTGTTGCCACTTATAGGCTGAAAAAATAGAAATATGACTATTGCATTTGACCACATGATAATGACTTTTCTCTGGAACTGTTGCAACCAACAGAGTAAACAACTTTTACTTCTGCATTCATACAAAATCCAAAATTGTGGGCAAAGGCATTGTCTACACCTCTCAGACATGAAAAAAGCACAAATAACAGCGGTGGAGCTTTGGGAACAGGAAAGGATTTTGTCTTGTGTCTCAGGGATGTCTTTTCCTCTTTAACACATCACTTTAACACATTCACTTTAACACATCATCTTTGTGTCAGGTACACAGCTATGAAGATGTAAAATGTGCCCATATCCTTGTGCCTCTTGCTTGATAGGCTATGATAACAGAGGAAGCTTATTCAGTTGATGTATTAACATGTGTTGACAATGAGTATGTCTTGTTCTTGAATTCTGTTTTGCATTTGCTGGGAAACATTTTTTTATATTTTTTTTTTTTTTTCCTGTCTAGACACTGACCTTCTTTTACATTTTCAAAGATGACTATTGCTGGGAGACAGGAAATACTTCTTTTCTGGGTCCATGAACTATGCACTTGAAGCCACCAGATGAAAAGTTTGGACCTAGTCCTCTTGTTCTTTTTGGTAGTTATCACATTGGTCATTGAAGCCTCTCAACATGATGCACCCTTTGGGACAGTTGGTTCTTTTGCTTTGTTTCGACTACTCACATTGGGAACATTTCCTTTAAGAAAATATTTTGTGATGGGTTTTGTTTGCAGGTAAGGTACATGTGGGCAAGCATTCCAGGATGAGAGGAAAGTTACCCGTAACTCAAGACAAGTTGCTTATATGTACATTATTGTTGCCTACACTTTCACAGGCAGCTCACCCCCCTTCATGAGGCACTTGTGAGACAGAGAAAACAAAAGTATGAGGCACAGGTTGTAAAACAGTGTTAAGAGTAGGTGAAGGAATAGGACTGTTGTGTCCTTGAGTTCCTGCTGAAATTAAAACAAACAACCCCCAAAATTCACAATGTATGTATATATTTAAATAACCACCTAAAGAAGACTTATTGCCAGTAAATAATCTTTCTTTTTCAAAATGTCCTATGTGGAACAATTAATGAGTTAATAGGAATAATACCCACAGCTGTCGTCCAAGCAAGTCTCCATTTACCAACTCACTCACTTCCTCTTTTAATAGATGACTGTTAACCTTTGGGACCATAAACCACTGATCTCTTAGTTCTCTGTGTCTCTGGTGGAACCCGAGTTGTTCTTTCCTTGGGCTGAGTAATGGTTTCAGTGGCATTCTGAAAGGTTTGTGAGGAGAAAAGCAGAGTACTACTTTCAAACCATGCATTAATCTGGATGGACAGCAGAAGTTAACCAGCCTGACTTGTGCTGAAAAATAAGTGTTTCTCAAGTTATTCCAAAAATGTTAAACCCCTCCATAAACCTTTCAACAGATATACTAAAGTAGCAATTGAAAATTCAGATGGAATATGCAAAGAATTAGAAGACCTAAATTTTGTGTGATTAGTCAAACCTTTGTCAGTCTTCCTCCAATGTACCAGACCTGACTTAGATGTTTTGCTACTGCCTACCCACATGTGGAATTCTATTCTCTCTGTTGTCTAGCATAATGTGAAGCCCAGTTCCTGAACATTCACAACGCTATAAGAAATGGTCTTAATGAGCATCACCTTTAAATCATTAGTCAAATCATAAGCCTATTTGAGAAAACTACAGTTGGTTTTACCTTAATAATATTGTCTGAAATCTCATTATCTTCTTGAATCTAGGTGAATGAATCATTCCAGCTCAAACACATTTGCTTCTGTTTGACTGTGTTCTCGGAAAATGATTTCCAACTTGTAAAATGAAGACAGTTCATTGCATTTTGACTTCATACATATTCCTTTAAAGGTTTTCGCCCTTTCATTTTGTACATAAAGTGTCCTTTGGGTGAATATGCCTGAACTGTTGACAGTGTATTTTTCTGCTTAATGGCATTTCAAGAAAATGTGAGGTGTGTGTCTTGAACTCAGATGATTTTACCAGGAGTAAAACTGAAGGAAGCCTTTTGTCTCGTCAGAGTTTCTGGATGAGTTCAAAGAATGTCTCTGAAAATTGGAGAACAAAGTGTTTCCTCTCCTAGTTTAACACTGCCAAGAGTCTCAGAGCTCCTAGTCATGCACAGTGTGGCTTATCTCATCTGAAAATGACTAAGCAAACCTTAACATTCAAACAGCTTGTGTGTTGGAGATGGGGGGTTTTTGGATAATGTTTGCAAATGTTGAGCAAGAATGACAGTGTTGTGCATAATTAACTGTATACGCTTTTATTTACATTTTAAAGCAACATCATTTTACTTGTCTTTCAACTCAGCATCTCCTAAGCAACTCATTGTAATGTCCAAGTTTCCCAAGATCACAGCTTGCATACTTCAAGGCTGTAGAGAAAGAGGCAGTGAAAGTGGTGCTTTCTGCTGTGCCTTTCTGTCATATTCTCCTCTGAAAGAATCCAGTACCATTGACTTCAGATAAGAAGCCACATCAGTCAGCTTAAAATGTGCTGAATCAAGTTTAAGTACAATTTTAGGTTTACAAGAAATTTGTAGAAGGATTGTGAAATCCCCTTTATCTTGTTATCAACTCAGAAGGCTTTTGGTAAGGCAAGAGCTTTTCCACAGATGGCAGATTAATTTTTAAAAAATCTTATTTATCCTATCCTTATACACAGCTTCCTACTTTTGTAAAGAGGCCTTATAAACATAAAAGTTTAAACTGTTTTGAATTTACTGACCTCTTTCATTGCTAGAGTGCAGGTAAGTGGCCTTAGTGCAAATATGAATTGTGAACTTCCTTCCTTGATTTGCTTCTTTTCTCATACATGCTGCTATAAACATTATCTTTAGACTTCTTTTACAGAAGAAGAATGCATATGGCAAAAATCCTGAAAGGTTTGGTTAATTTGTGTTTCTGAAATGACTTTGACAACCTTCTCTTACAGTGGAACAGGGACTGTATATTTCTGTAGAACAGAAATATATTATTAGTAGGAAGTGTTATCTTATATTATGACCCTATTAACCTGTTAGCATTTTCCCAAGAACTGTCTAAAACTCTGACTATCTTAGTTTTAAAGGCAGGGAAAGATAAAAGAGGGTAAGGGAGCAAGGCATAACAAGTCCACACCTGTTTTGATCTTGCTCTGATTCAATGTGGCATGGAAGCATTTTGTGTTGGCAGAGTACACTGCATACCCACTAAACTGAGTCCCAAAAGTGGCATAGCCAGGCTGATAGTTCTGCTGGGCATTTGCTCAGCAGCTCTTCTTGTCAGCATGTGGGTATTTATGCTGCTTCCATTTCTGTGGATGCTCACTCACATTACCGTGTGGTGCAGAATCTTCCAGCACATTGCTATTCTCCCATTGCTTTGCTTCATGTTACCACAGAGTGTAGTAATAAGTTCAGATAATTCAAGGTTTTGAACTGTGTGAGCTAAATTCTTGTCACTCACAAGCAAAAAATTTCTGATGGAAAAAGGATTTGCCTTCCTTTCTATTTCAAGATAAAATATAATCTCAGGAAATGTCAACATTTGCTGGTTTTTACCAGAGTTAGCTTCATTTAAAAGCACTGCAAAAATGAATATTCTCAGAAATTAATATGTAAATAGCTATAGAATCCACCAGCACAAAGACAGTTTTTTGAATAGATATAATCCTCATCCCTATCCTGTCCTTCCTGGTCAGCTTAGCATTTCCTCCATTTTGGAGATGTTGCTAGGACCTCAAGTTGGACTAAAGTTGGACATGCTCTGCTTTCTCTTTCTAGTGAGCATACCAAAAGCCATCTAAGTCTCTAAAAGTATATTCTGTTAGATGAGAAACCAATATGCTAGCAAGTGACAGCTCTGCAGGGAACCCAGAATTGCCATCTATACTTACGAAAATGAATGGACTGAAAATAAATCTCCCCTGCTCTCTGTGCATCTACAGAACAGGTTCTTTCCCTCATTCCTCTCTTGTACTCCATAAGCTTTTGATGACTTCTCAGGCTGCACATTTTTCACAGGATCTCTTCTGAGCAACTTTCCCATAACTTCCATTACTTCCTGTGGGTCTACTGCAATCAAACCCTTTGCCAGGATCTCCCTAGATGCTTTCTTTGGCCTCCTTATGCTGCTTGCTCCGGCCTGCACTCTTGGTTATGTACTCAGCAGCTCTGAGGGAAGACACAATCTCTCCTTTCCTCCAAGAATTTCACTAAACCTAAAGGGTGTATATCTACTCTGCAGGAGAACTAAACAAACAGATTTCTTGTGGTTAAACCCCAGCTGGCAACAAAGCCCCCCACAGCCACTGGCTCCCTCTTGCTCACTTCCCCCATGGTGGGATGGGGGAGAAAATCAGAAAAGTGAGAAAACTCACAGGTTAGTAGTTAAAACAAAAGCCAAGAGCACAGGCAAAGCAAACCAAGGAATTCCTGTGGGCAGGCAGGTGTTCAGCCATCTCCAGGAAAGCAGAGCTATATCATGAGTAATGGTGACTTGGAAAGATAAACACTGTTAGGTCCTAACATCCCTCCTTTCCTTCTTCTCCAGGTTTTATGTGCTGAGCATGATGCCATA